ATGACCGAAGACGCTAACGAGCTACCGATTTGCGGTGTCAGCTGGTCAGCCACTGGTCAGTCCTGGTGAGAGGACCAGGGCAGAAAGCAGACAAGGCAGGACGGTGGTCACGGGCTTTGAGTGGGGTCCGAGAGGAGAGCCCGAAGGACAAGCTAAGACTTCCTGATGGTGCTGTACTCCGTGGGCTCCTCGGAGCTCACATTGGGAACGCAGGTGACGAGGTAGCTGGTGTTGCCATAGGTCGGCTCCTGATCCAAGACGTCCAGAGTCAGGGACGCATAGGACACCTCCTCACTCGGTAACGGAGCCTGCAAGAGACGGCCCAGGTCAGAGGGGCTGGCTGGACGGAGGAGCCCTCTGATGAGGTTGGGGCAGGGGACCCGTTAGGGCCCCTGAAATCCACTCCTAGCCCTCTGGATTCCTGCCTCCCCTTGGCCAGGCCCCCTGAGCTTTGGCCACACCAGCAGATGTGCCCTCTGTCCAGGCCAGGCAGCTTCCTGTGGTACCCCAAGGCCCTCACACCCTCTGGCTCTCTCCGGCTCAGTGCAAGAGCCGCATCTGATCAGTCCCTGTGTCCCTGGGCCTGAGACCTGCTGTGGGGACACTCCCAGATGGGGGGGCTCCTGCAGCAAGTCCAGCACTGACGCTCCTCAGCTGTGCCCACATGGCTGTCCCTTCCCCTTTCCACAGCAGCACCCACTGAAGACGCACCATAGTGACATACTCTACTTCTGCCTGGTCGTCCTGGGCGGAAGAGGATTTCGTGGAGGCCTTTTTCCTGGAGGAGCCTCGGGGGGTCTTGGTCTGCAGAGTCAGGTTGGCATAGCAGAGCTCGCCCTCCAGGGACTGTGGTACCTGCGAGAGGGGCACAGGCTAGGGGTCAAAGGACCCGCCGCAGGCACAGGGGTCCTCTGCTTCCCAGGGCCCCTCAGCACCCTCCATGTCCCCCCTTCTCAGTCTCCCAGGCCCCTCAGCCCTCTTCCCCTCTGGCTGTTTCCAGGCCCCCCAGCTTCCCTCCAGGGGTACACGGATACTGTGGCAGTGGGTACATTTGGACCCTAGGGCTCCCGGAAGATGGAAGACAGGGAGGACCTCAGGACCTCTCTTACCTGCTCTGGGGACATCCCAGCAGCTAAAAGACAAAAGCAAACTGAATTAGGGAGCCCGTCCCCATCATTCACAGGACCCTAGGTCTACGGGAGAGGAATCTGGAAGAAAGGCAGGGAATTAGGCTCCAGGCTCAGAGATGGTGGACCGGGCCCTAATCCTCGTTCCTCAGATGACACACGGTGACATCGTCACATCCTCTCTCTGAGCCTGAAAAAGAGAGGGCCTTCAGCCCACT